TCTTTCCATCCCCAGGTTGAGGCCCATTTTTTCCCCTCTTTAACCCAAACCCCTTTATCAATTCCCAAGCCCAAACGTCAATCCCAGCCCAAATTCCCGTCCAACCCTTCCCCTTTATTTTTAATAAATTCAGCCCACTTTTCCCTTACCCGACCCAGTACCCAATCCAACCCGACCTAAATCCCCTTTCCCCCTTTCTTCTTCCCCTTCACTCACGCCCCCCCCCCCCCAACAGAAACCCACGAAAATCCAGCGAAAAAAGAAATCTGCCCTACGTCGTTTCCCAGCTCTCTCCCCCAAACGCCCACGCCCTCTTCTCCTCTCTTCATCGCGCGTGATGGGGAGGTAGCAACGGGACCTGCAGTCCTGCTACTTCGTACGCAGGTCTGCAATACACAAAGTGACAAGCTTTTGTCCTTGTGGCCTGAGATCGAGCCACGTAGCTGCCAGGGACGTTCCTCTTCATCTCGACCGTCCTTCCCTCCTTTCCGTTTCCGGAATGGGGGCAGATTTGCGGAAAAGGGTGTCGCTCCGTTAAGGGAAAGGAATTCAAAATTTGAATTCGAAATGGGCCTCAAATCGTTCCTCCAGCCCCTCTCCTTCAGAACCCTAGTTTCCCTCTATAAATACCCCCTCCTAAAATGTTGAAAGGGGGGGGGGGATTTTTTAGGTTTTTGGAAAACTTTGAGTTTGAAGAAAAAATCTTGAAGAATATCCTGTTTTTTTTTGTATGTATAAGAACAGTCGAAAATCTGTTGGATTTTTCGGGAGGAGGATTTGGACACGAAGAACAGTTCAATTTTTGGAAAAGTTTTTTTCGTTCATTCTGTTTATTTGTCGAGGGAACTAGAAGAGAAATTTGAGAGTAGAAAGTTACTGTTAGATTTTTGGGTGGTTAGATATCCTGGGGGAGGAAATTTTGAAGAATTCTTTTGGTGTTCTGTCCGTATAGAAGAACAGAAAGATTTTAGGGGGTTGGAAATTTTTGAAGAAATTTCGTTGGATTTTTTCTGTCTGTCGAAGTTAAAGAAAGACTTAAACCATATATTACGTGCGAGAATTTAGGGTAGAGATTTTCAGAAATCGGAGGTTTCGATTCTACTTTCGCCATCTCCTGGTTCGCTCAAGGTGTGGTTTCGTTCTCGCTCCTGCTCACCGTCCCTGTCGCTTCTTTCGAATAGGTAACCTTCCCCTGCTTCTTCCTATTTCTGCGTTATTTTTTTTCTTCTGTTTCAAAACTGGTTTGTCACTGTTATAGTGACCTCGATGTATATGCTTGCTGGAGTTCGCCTATCTGCTTTGTTAGTTCATACAACTTATGCGTTCTCGTCTAGTTTGTTTGAATAAATACATAGTTTGGTTATAGTTTAGAGGTCCGCGTAATTCAACGAAGATGGTTCTGCATCCTTCTTCTTGTTGAGCGTGGATGTCTCATCCTTCATTCTTTCACCCCAAGTTGAAAGAATGAATCGAGATGTTAAAATTTGAGATTTGCCTTGTAGTTTTTTGACTGTTCGAAGTTCATGTGTTGCATCTTCGTCTTGTCCAAATGCTTTTGTATGTTTAAATATAGCTTTCTCTTGTTTCATTTACCTCATTCTCAAGTTATTTTGCTGTCTCCCACGTTTTGTGCATTCGGTTTTGATTGAACTGGTAGGTAGTATAAGGTGTTTACTCTCTGGCGTTTACTGTAGCTTAATGTGAGGTTGAAGTCTATCTATCACATTAGTTTGGTGTTAGTTTAAGATCGACTTCATGAAGCTTCTACGGTGATTTATTCATCTAATTTATCACATCCTTTCTTGTTTATTCTAAATTTTATATATATTTAAGGATAATTTCTTCACTTCTTACAGAAATTTTTTATGTTGAGCCTACTGAAATGTCTCGTTTTCCTCCATTCACTCTCTGTGTTTGAACACATAAAATGGCTATAGTCTTTTCGAGTGTCGACCTGAAGTTTGTGTGATGTTGTATTATTGCTAACTAACAGTGAGTCGTTTCGGGACATTTCTCGTTCAGCCCAATTTTCATGATGATTTAGATTTAATTATTTAATAGTATGATAATATGCTTTGTTTCTTTGGTGTTTTGCCTTTAGTATTCACAAATGATTTGTAAATTTTCATTTTTATGTTCCCATGTAGCTCATTCAGGTTTTATCTCTAGCTAGTTCCCTTAGGAATTAAATTTCATGAAGTATGCATAATTTGTCGATCGATTCGCTCTCTAGTTGTTGCCCGTAACCCCCCCCCCCTCTTTTTTTATCCTCGCTCCTCTTTCGCAGGATCTGTTAGTTTGTCAATTTCTTTTTCCAGTATGCTAATTTTTTTTTAATTTTTTTTTGGCATTTGTGTTGATTGGACTATTTACTAACTCTTTATTCCCCAATTTATCTATGTCATATGTGAAACCGACTTGAGTTCGCTAAGGAATCGTCCTTTACATTTTGAGAAAGCCGTAAAGGCTTAACTCTTCTTTAACGGAGTCAAGATCGCCTCAAAATTGAACGATTAAAGAATCAAGGAAGGTTGAAGAGCCCGAAGAAAGCGGATTAGAAGACTTGTTTTTTTTCCTTATTCTTATTTTTTTTAATTCTGTAATGGGCATAAGCTCTTGCTGCTTTTATTTTCTTGTATTTATTTGTGTATGTTTAGACTAGGACAGGTGAAAAATGGGTTAAAAAACCCAACAGCAGGTGGGTCCGAATTTCGATCAAGGCGAACAGAACCCAAATTTGGACCCAAAAATCTCTCTCTCTCTCTCTCTCTCTCTCTCTCTCTCTCTCTCTTTACTACTGCTTATATTCTTGCTTTGAATGCCTTTTAGTTTAGGATTAGAAAACTCCAAACCCCGTCGAAACGTTTTTCTGTTTTATTAAACTAAAATTAAATTCTAAAACGACAAATATTTCAAACTTATAAATTTATCTAGATAAAACTTTAAGTTTAACTTCAAAATTTGCAAATCATTAGAAAATAGTCATATAGTTAATCGCCGGAAAACCGTATTAAAACGGAGCGTCTTAGGTGTCGTCGACACCTTCCTAAGACGCTAATATGAATCCCGAACCCCCTAAAATATTTTCAAAAACGATTTTTCCTGTTTAAGTTGTTTTGGAAACGAGTTTTCGTAATTTTCTCAAAATTAAGTGGCGACTCCTAAAAGTCGAAAATATCTTCCAAAAATAAAACAGACTTCCTTTCGAAATTATTTTCCCGATAAAACATGTATTTATAAAATGACGGTTGAGATATGCAATTTATTAGTATAATAACACTTTGCCCTATTATGATAACTAATTAATAAATTATACTTACTTCATGTGGGAACTTAAATAAGAATTAGAGAAATTTTGATGATAAAAAGAATAAGGTGATAGGAATAAAAATGTTATTCATTTATATTTCAGCTCAAAAATGTCTTTATCGTTAATATTTTAAATAAAAAAATATCATTAAACTATGCGAAAGTAATAAAAATTATCATTAAACAACTTCATATTTTTGTTATTTTTGACCCTTTTTTTTCTTTTTTTTATATTTATGAGAAGAAAGGTACTCCCTCCGATTAAAAAAGAATGATTGTATTTCCTTTTTAGTCTGGTTAAAAAAGACTGGTCCCTTTTGCTTTTTTGACAACTCTTTAACTTTAACTTTTCATGACATGTTTAACATCACAAGATTAAAGGTGATTTTTGTACATTTGACATAACTTTAATTTTGAACAACAAAATTAAAAAATCTTTTTTTTTCTTAAGTGATGTACGACCGCTTAAAATTGTCCGCAAAATTCATTTGGACACTTTAACTAAAACCCCTACCTATTGAATAACTCTAACCTTCCGAATTCAAACCATATAAACATTTTTTTGCCTACATGGCAAAATGTTTGTGATTCAGTTCATATAGGCGCGTGAGAGTATTTTATGAGGCCTTTTTGTGGAAACGAAACTCTTTCTTCTTCCTCACCTCTTTTCTATCCGTTCTTCATCACACCAGTTTGCCACCGCCGGCGGCCGTAGATCCTTAGTCTTTCTTTTTTTTTCCTCTGAACATTTTCATTCTTTTATCTCCATCGTTGCTCCTATTAAATGTTGCCTCATTGTCCTTCATATTACCTGCCCATGGGTCATGGCTATGGCTGCCATTATAACCATCATTTTAATTTGTAAAGGATTGAAGTTTGAAATTTTTTTTCTTTAAATAAATATATATTCTATGTAACTGTAAGGCGTTCTTCTATTAAAAGATTTGTTATAAATCGGACAAAAAAATGATATAACTCCATTTTTTTCTAACAATATCGATAAGAACTTATTAATTTTCCGACTGAATTCGTCTTTCTTGCATCAAAATGAAACGAAGAAGAAAGTTACAAATTATTTTGATTATTTAAGAGATTGAGGAGAAATAACGTGTAAGAAAACTTGACAGATAACTCCTTCATAAGCCATTAAAAATAGCCATAAAATTTTCAAGCCTTCTGTTTTTTCTTTTGATTTTCTATTGCATACGTACCAAAAATGTTTAAAGCAATATAACATGATGGATTTCCGTGTTGTTTATTGTATGGCCGAGGAAAAGCTGAGTCTTATTTTGGGTTTTGATGGATGGGTGGGGTTACAACCTTTTTCTTTTCTTTTATTTTGCTACTTAAAAATGAATCTTTTACATTTATTTTTTAATACTTTTTAAATAATTCTTTTAGACTACAAAATAACGTATGTCGTTATTTAATTAGTTGAAATATCATGTCATTGGGTGTGTATTTCACACACACTATATTTTTAGTTTATTGATAAAAAATATTTAAATGATTTAAGTGTTTAATAAATACATGTCTAGTTCAGGTGTCTAACAATTTTAAGTGTAAGGGATCGTAAATGACTTAAACATTTTTTTTTCTTCAACTTCATTCCAATTCCAAGTTAAATTAGATAAAAAGAAAATTTGGAAGTGGAGGGAGTTTTTTCTATATTTATGAGAAGAATGGTAACTCAAAAAATTCAAACTTTATATACAAACGGAATTTCAACATAAAAATAATATCAATGATTTTCATATGAACAAATTAGAGTACTGTTGAAGGAGAATTTAGTGTCATTGTTGAGAAGAAAGCAAAGAGAGAGGCAGAAATGGCGGGTTTGTTGGCATGGGCAGCAGATGTAGTAGGAGGTTCACACAGCAATGATGAAGATGATAACAACCCCAATTCAATCTCTTTAATCTTTACTCCGCAACAACAATTGTACCTTCTTGATTTGGATCGAAAGGCCACTTCTCCTACTCGAACCATTCAAGATATACGGCTTAGACTCCCTCCTCCTGACATCTCTGAACGTCTTCCTCATCTTCACGCTCACTCCCTCGCCTCTAACAACGCTCTTGCTCTCCAACTTAATGCTCACTCTGCCACCAAAGAACAGGTTTCTCATTTTCTCTTCTTTTAATTACTTTAATTTTAGCTTTTCATCGATTGATGCGTCTGGGGGTGGATTAAGATTTCAAGTTCTACAATACCCACTACCCTTTTGTGAATATATGTGGTTATCTTGATCTAATACAAGTTTAGGGGAATTCAAGATTTCAACTTTATGGGTTGGGTATTTATATTTATATCATTGACAAGTGAGGCTAGCTTGAGAGCACCTTCACCGGTAATTAGTCGGTTATTCACCGTTAATTGGTAGGTTGAGGTTTCAATTCATGCCTGAGGACGGCTGAGGGTAAATAGGAATACTATTGATCTTCTTGATCTTAAGATAAATCATTTTACATCATGACTCAACTTGACGTCACTAAGTACATGATCTTAGATAGGAATCTGTGGAGTGTTGTCTTACATTTCTAAAGTTTAGGCTTTTTGGTGTTGTACTAGCTGTATTATTATAGTTCTTCATTGTGATATCTATCATTGTGGGTTGAATATTGTATTTCGATAATCGCACTATTTTATAGTTCATGGTCTTTTTTTTTGTATGACACCTTATTAGTTGCTATGTTTTTTGCACTATTTTCTTCTTTCTTGTACTCGAATTCGCTGCACTTGAGCCGAGGGTCTTTTTGAAACACATCTCTACCTCTAGAGGTAGTGGTAAGATCTGCTTACACTTTACCTTTCCCAAACCTCTTCTGGGATTTCATTGAGAATTTAATGATTATTGACATGGCATATATTCATGGTTCTTTCACGTTCTGGTGTCCCTACATTGCACCCTATCTGTCCTTTATCATCCAAATAATATCATACAAAATCAATGTCAAGATTTTTTTTCATCGATCAATTTATGATTTATGACAAAAACAAACCCTGCTAAATAAGTGTGTACTGGTAATTGAAGGTCCAGGTCATGTATCAAACCCCAAGTTTGACCTTTCACTGATTCAGAGAAAAAGGAATTGGGGAAAAGGATAAAACTTGTGACCAAAGGTTGAGTGATTCTTTTCTTTTGCAGTTCTCCCTTTTTGGTAAATGGAGGGACTTTGTTCTTGCTGCTACAAACTTCCTTTGTTATGTAGAGATTATTGTCAGGTTACCTAATAAAATTGTATTCAAGTGATACAATTTGTCGTCTACCATAAATTGAACTGCTACGTGAAATTTTGTCTGTTTCTCGGATTTCTTGGTGAGTTAGATAGGTTTAGCTATGAAACTGTAAATGTTGATTATGCTGGGTACACGAGGTCAGCAAAAATAGCTAAATCGTTTAAATTGAAAATCGTTCAACGGTCTGTGGTGCAATGTGTTTATTCTAGATATTTTTTGTGATAAGGAAAAGATGAGGACCAATACATTTTTGGGGGATAATTTATTCTTGATATAAATAGGCGCCATCATTATAATAATGTAAATATGCATTATTTTCTTGTGCACTAAGATGTGGTAAACTAGGAGGATGGCTTTCGTTCTTTGGGAGAGCAAGTGCTGCAAGTCTGTAGAAGGTTTGACATTCTTAATTGCTTTATAACAATGAATAACACATTATAGATCATCGATGGCTGAAGAACCCAAACAAACCCAAATCCGAAATATTGGATTTGGTTTATCTTACCAATTGGCTAGTGATAGAGCCTAATACTTTGCTTAATGTATCACACACAACTTTCAAGCTGGAAGAGTCCTCTGAAGTTCCTGCATAGGTATCAGAGTTTCTTCTTCTCGTTGCTCCTTCGATTTCCTCTATTTGGTGAGCCTGGGGATGTTTTAATACTTAGTAGTGTGAAACTTTTGATTGTTCTCTGGAAATATACACTGCTTAATTATTTCTTTTCTATGAATTCTAATGTTGTGTACATTATCGATTAATATTTTTGATGAGATTAAGAGATTTTCAATTCTTTGGCTAAAGTAATATTAAGGATTTTGGTGATGGTATTTTTTACATTCACTTGAATATGCATTTAGAGCTTTGAATTTGAAGTACAATATTTGGTCTAACTTGGTGGCAGGCACAATTAAGAGAAATTACTCTGCAAGAAGAAAATGTTGAGTACGAGAAGACTATCTCAGATTATGAGAATAGGATTCAGGAGAAGTCACAGGAAGCTGACCTTCTACGCACCAAGTTGCAGGTTAGTCATAACTCATGACTCATAACTTTCTCGAGAGGATCCTTTTATGATTTATAAAAAAGAATAGGCATCGTTTATCTACTGCTTTGTCATCTGATTGCATGTCCAACTGTTAGAGGGCAGGAGAACTTCTCCGACAAGTACTCGCAAAAAATAACTGTTAATGTGAATTTCTTTGTAAAACCAGGAACCATATTTCATGCCATGTTCAAATTTTAGCACCCTTAGGCCCTAGAAAAAACTTCATGCAAAGACTCTCTGTCTCTATATCTCCCCATCCCTCTTAACTAAGAACTGACTTTCTTTCCCACTATCTGGTGCAGTCATACACTAATGTTAGCGCTGGATTTCCCAGCAGATGAGCCCTATTTTTAGTTATTTAAGTAATAGAAAAGATTAGTACAAATTCTTTTACTTTTGTACTTGTACGATAAGTTATTTTACAACAACATACCTAGTGTAATCCCTCAAATGGTGTTTGGGGAGGTAAGATGTACACAGACCATACCCCTACTGTTTCCAGTAAACCCTCGGCACAGGATAAGTTATGTTATTACCTCAATTAAATGACTCAAGCTATTACTGATTATATTTTCACCTTCATCCTGTCCACTGATTCCTTTATATGCAATCAATTTTGTTTCTGGGGCATTCATTGTTCAACATTTCTGGAACATTATGCAATTTACAGGGAAGGACTTAATGGAAGAAAACATAAAGTCAGAGTTAGAACAAGCACAGGCTGCAGCCCCAGTGAGTCTGTGAAATATTTGATTAAAAATAATGGTGAGGATCAAGAAGATAAGGAATTTGCACATTCTGCGCTGCTGGGGAAATCAGAGGTGAAGAAGAAGGAATGGGTGTGTAGCTTAGCTTATCTCACTTTGCATCATAATAGCCAATGTAAATTACTTTTCGTTCTTTTATCTGCTTCTGCCGATCATTTTTAATTAGATAACTATGGAAGGAGCTGTTCAAAACCTGGAGGAAAAATGGGCAGAAGTGCAAGATTATGCACTCAAGCAACCTTCCCCAGGTACCTAAATAATAACATATATTAGTAAACATTATTATGGATAATGATCATAAACTCCTACTGTGTGGTCCAGACCATATGATATATTTTGTTGTCTTAAATCTCTTTCCCTTGCTTATTAAGGAACCAGTTTCTATCACGTTTCTTCTTTTCCATGCCTTAAATGCATTGCACCTGATTCAGAATAAATAATGGTAAACTACTTAGAAATTCAGGGGAGTAGATCTGTTAATCGCATATTTGATATTTTTCATTTTTATATATTGACATTTTATAGTATGGCATGCCTAAAGTCTGATCTTGTCATGTTATTTCTTCAGCCTAGCGAGAGAAACTGTAGGATAAGCAGCTTCATAGCCTAATAGAGCAACTTGCTGCAAAACAGGTTAATGATTTTGAAAAATTATTCAGTATTCAGAGGCTGCAGTGCAGCCTTTTGCGCAATGGATTTTGGAAATTGTACTTTTGACACGAAACCCATATATACTCCCTATGTTTCAATTTGTTTGTTTGAACGCATAATTTCAAAAGTACAATGAGTTTACTTTAGATTGAGTCCATTTATTTAAAATCCTAGTTCCGCTTGTGTTGACATTGTGTTATACTATATCTTTAACCTTTGGGCTCTCTAATTTCTTTTGTTTTTGTAAGAGTTAGTGTTTCAATTAATCTTGAAACAAATTCATCCGTTTTGAAATAACAAATACATGAATGTGAGTTGTAACATTCATTTATTTAATTCTTTGTTATAAACATTTGCAAGAAGTTTTTTTTTATTCTACGTTATGGATTTTTGAAAGATAAATTTTTTGTTTTCAATTCATGAACCTAATAAATTCTATTAATTAAAAATCTTTTCTTGCAAAACTTTTTATCCTATAAATTGAGTTTCCTTTGGTTGAAAAAGATAAGCATTCAAGCAAAAATACTTTCCCTTGAAAACACTTGTGAGATATTGATCAAAAGGTGAAATCACCAATTCAAGAATAGAAGAGCAACATTCTTGAATGCTACTTGTTTTGTGGCTTAGTTGAATCCCGAAGATAGAGTTGCTATTTATTCTTCTGATTGCTTGTGGGAGAGACTCCAACTATCTTCAAGAAACGTATTAACGTGCCTCTAAGTCAAGCAAGTTTTATTTTGTATTCCTTGTAATTTTATCATTCTTGTTCATTTGTTCTAAATTTGTATTTTTTGGTTTCTCACTATCTTTTTTGCTCGTACCTGCAGCTGTATTTAAACAAACTTTGTTATGGGTTTTTTGGAGTTTCCCATCGTCTCCTTCTAGTTCTGGCTGTTTACCGTCCGCCGAACGACGTAGCTCCGCATGTTTATAGTCATGCTGCTGACTGTTAGTTTTTCCTTTCAGATCTTGTACATCTGCTTCTATCTTTTCTATTTTTTGGCATAGATTTGTCATTATAGCCAATAGGTCTTTCATTGTATCTTTCTCTTGAGAGGTAGTCTACAATGAGATTTTCGTCAGTTTTAATAATCTCAATTGTAAATGTAAAATTCAATATATTTAATATCAATCTTCTTATTTCTTTTGTTGTAACTGAATCATCTATCTTTTTGGTTATCCACCTCTTTACCTGTGTGTTATCCGTTCTTACAATAAATTTATTGTAAACTATATATGATTCAAATGCTAACAAACATTATATAATGCAAATAATTCTTTTCTATTTATTTCCCATTTTGCTTGTGCTTCAGTATATGATCCTGAGCAATACCTGCAATGGTGTTCTATCTTTTCTTTGTTATATTTATATTTTAGTACTCTTCCATAACAGTGGTCACTTGAATCTGTTTCAATTATATATGTAAATGTTTTACTTTCATCAGGAAAATATAGTTTTGGTAATTTTTTGCATAATTTTTTGATATTTTTTATGTGTTCTTTGTCTTTGTTGTCAAAATGATATTCAACATCTTTTTTGAGTTTTTTGTATAGTGGTTTTAAATGTTCTGCTAGTTTTGGTATGTATTCTCTTACTTGGTTTACTAATCCTAAAAATGATTGTAATTTCTTTTTTGTATCTATATTTTCATCAATAGTAATTATTTTTTGTACTATATGAGTTTGCATTTTTATTCCATTTTTATCTATTTGTATTCCTAGAAATTCTATCTGTGGTTTCATAATTTCTGATTTACTTTTACTTAAACTTATACCTGAATGTTTAATTATATGTATAAATTTTTCTAATAATCTTATATGTTCATCTTGTTTTTTAGAGTATAGTAATATATCATATATATATACAACACAATTTTCTAACTGGCTAAAACAGTTATCCATAAAATATTGGTATCTACCTGGTGCATTTTTATATCCAAATGGTAATACATTCCATTCATAGAATCCTTGCGGTACTGTGAATGCTGTTAATTGTTTAGATTCTTTTTCTAATTTTATGTGGTAAAATCCTGATTTACAGTCAAATTTACTAAAATAATTATATCCTTGTATTTGTCTTATTTTTAGTATTTTGTTTGGTATTGGATAATTGTATGTTTTAGTTTTAGCATTTAGATTACGATAATCTATGATCATTCTACTTTTACCTCTTTTATGTTCACTATGTTTTATAACTATAAATGCTGGACTTGTATGTTTACTATTGCTTTCTTGTATGTAATTATTTTCTAATAATTCATCTATATGTATTTTAAATTCTTTTAAATCATCAAAGTTTTTTTTTAATGGTTTCTGTGTTATTATACTATTTTCATCTATTAATTCAATTTTTACTTTTGTCTTATGTTTTTCCCATCCTTGTAATGAATTTTCACTGTATAATTGTTCTAGTTGTTCATTAATTATTTTAACTTTGTCTATTGTAAATATAATTATTTCTAATTGTGATATTTGTTTCTTATTTATATTTTGCCATTTCTTGGTTTATTTTTTCACTTCCTTTTATCCATTCCATAGGTTTTCGTTGTTTATTATTTACTCTTTTTGCTCCTATTTTGTTTCCGCATGGTGTGATAAACCACCAATGTGTCTTTGTTATTATATGTGGATAAAATTTATCTAAAAATGGCATTCCTAATAACATATCTTTTGTGGTAAATTCAAAATTATACATTTCTTCTATTGTTAGTATTTTATCTCATATTTGTATTTTTATATTTTTTTCTTTATGTTTAATCATACTACCTTCGTTATTAAATGATGTTACTACCATAGGTGTTTTTAATTTTTCCCATTTATCTTCTGGTAAGCAGTTATATTTACATATATTCGCTTCTGCTCCTGTATCTATCATAGGAGTATAATATCTGTTGTGATATCCTTCTACAATAATTTTTGCAAGTATAAATATTTTCATTAATCATTTTGTTCTTTTTATAATTATTTTCTTATGTTGACATGTTATTGTTAATTGTTCATTTTCTATGTTGTACGGTTTAACTTTTTCTAGCCATTTTATTCCTAATGTAATATTATGGTTTCCTTGGTATATTTTAAATGGTATTACTAAGGGTATTCCTCCTATAATTATTTCTTTTTCTGTTGTTTCTTCATTTGTGTTTACTATCTCACTAGGTAATCCAGGGCATATGTGTCCTGTTTTCATAATTTCTTGAAGATAGTTGTCTCTATGGCATCCACATCAATAATGAACAATGTTCCATCTTTGCCTAATCCTAATTTTGAAATATTTGATGGAAAAGACTTTTCTAGATAGCGTGGAAAGATGGAATTCTTTTTAAGACGATTAAAGTTAGCGTATGTTCTTGAGAAACCTTGTCATGAGGCTCCTAGTTCTGAGGTAGCAACGGACGAGGCTACTTTGATTAAAGAACAAATTGCCAAATGGCAAGATGATGATTACTTATGCAAGAATTATATTCTTTGAGGAATGTCCAATAAATATTATGATCAATATTATATTAAATGTAAATTTGCTAAGAAGATTTGGGATACTCTTAAAGCTATTCATTTAGCAGAAGAGGCGAGTTCAAAGAAATTTCTTGTTTCAAATTATATGGAGTTCAAAATGGTTGATGACAATCAATCACTGAAAAAGTACAAGAATTTCAACTTATAGCAAATAAAATTGTTATAACTGGAATTGCTCTTGATGAAAACTTTCATGTTGGTGCGACTGGCTCAAACTCCTCCATCTTGGAAAGAGTACAGAAGCAAACTCTTACACAAGAAGGAAGATTTGACTCTTGAACAATTATTGCAACACTTGCAAATTGAATAAGAGACACGATACCGCGACAATAACATCTTGAGGGAGCCCATCATGAAAGCTCATGTTGTTGAAGAAAAGATCAAGAGAGAACCTGCCAATAATAAATTTTTGAAGGCAAAAAAGAGAAAATTTCAAGCGTATTAATTTTAATTCTAAGTTGATTGAATGTTATCATTGTCATAAAATTGGTCATTATGCACGTGATTGTAAAACTCTTAAAGCTGAAAATAAGAAAGAAAAGGCAAATAACAATACAAAAAATGAACTGGTGGCAATGGTCACAGAAGCATTTGTAGCGGGAGATCAAGTGGAATGGTGGATAGACACTGGTGCAACTCGTCATATATCAGGTAATCAAAATTCTTTCACGACATATGAATTAGTGGGGGCGATAAAGTTTTGCATATGGGAAACTCATCCTCTGCTAAGGTTGTGGGAAAGGGAACTGTTGAACTAAAATTCACTTCCGGAAAGATGGTCACATTGATAGACGTATTGCATGTTCCTGATATTCGAAAGAACTTGGTGTCAGGTACGCTTCTTTCGAAGCATGATTTTAAAATGATTTTGAGGCAGATAAATTTATTTTGCCTAAACAAGGCATGCTTGTTGGAAAAGGTTATGCTACAAATGACATGTTCAAACTCAATATTGAAAATGAAAATATTTCTACTTATATTGTGGAGTCTTTAGATTTATGGCATGAACGTCTTGGTCATGTGAATTTTAGATCTATTCAACTTATGATGAAAAATGGATTAATTAAAGATTGTGGAAAGGATCATGTTGCTAAGTGTATCATGTTGCTAAGTGTATTACTTGTAGTAAATGTAAAATAACAAAGAAACCTTTTAAGTCTGTTGAAAGGATATCCACACTTTTGGAATTAATCCACACTGATATTTGTGAGATGGATTGTTTATCACATCATGGAAAGAGATATTTTATCACTTTCATTGACGATTACTCAAGGTATACATATGTCTTTCCATTAAAAACAAAAGATGAGGCATTTGAGACTTTTAAAACATATAAAGTAGAAGTTGAAAATAAATTGAGTTTGAAGATTAAATCAATTAGATCTGATAGAGGTGGAGAATATTTAAAATCAATTTTTATTGATTTTTGTGAAAAAGAAGGCATTGAGAAACAATTGACTATGTCTTATACACCACAACAAAATGGTGTAGCAGAAAGAATAAATAGAACTCTCATTGAAATGGTTAACTCTATGCTTTATGGATCTGGTATCACTGAAAATTTGTGGACTGAAGCCTTATTTTCTGCATGTCATATTTTGAATCGAATTCATTCCAAGAAACATGATTCATCTCCATATGAACTTTGGAAGAATCGCAAGCCAAATATAAATTATTTTAAAGTATGGGGTTGTTTGGCTCATGTTAGATTACCAAATCAACAATTGACTAAGATTGGATATAGAGGAGTAGATTATGTATTTATTGGTTATTCACAAACCAGTAGGGCTTATAGATTTTTGAATCTTGAGACTCCAAGCCCCCACACAATAATTGAATCGTTGCATGCTAACTTTTTTGAGCATATATTTCTTAAGAAAAAAGAGTCTTTTAAACAAAATACAAGTTCTTCTATATCTACTCTTAAAAGAAAAATAGTTGAACCTTCGGAAGAAAGTCAACCAAGACGTAGTGAAAGATCAGCCAAACCAAGAGAATTTGGACCAAATTTTCAAGTCTATTTAGTTGAAAGGGATGCTGAAAATTATGCTGAAGCAATGTCTTCACATGATGCTCCTATCTGGCGTGAAGCTATTGATGATGAAATGCACTCCATTATGTCAAACAATACATGAATTTTATCAGACCTTCCTCTTGGATGTAAGCTATTGGTTGTAGATGGATCTTTAGAAAGAAATTAAAATCTGATAAGGAACCTTAGATAAGTACAAAGCTCGTTTGGTGGAAAAAGGTTTTACTCAATTGAAAGATATTGATTATTTTGATACATTTGCTCCTGTAGCTCGAATGACTTCTATTCGACTCTTGATTGCTTTAGTCGCAATTCATAGCCTAGTAATACATCAAATGGATGTGAAGACTGCATTTCTGAATAGAGATGTAGATGAAGAGGTTTACATGAAACAACTAGAAGGATTTGTCGTTCCTGGTCAAGAACACAAAGTTTGTAAGCTTCTTAAATCTCTTTATGGATTAAAACAAGCTCCAAAAAAATGGAATGAGAAATTTAGAAGAGTAATGATTTCTAATGGCTACTCAATCAATGGTGGTGATATTTGTATATTTAGCAAATTTCAAGAAAAACCTGATGTTATAATATGTCTTTATGTAGATGATATGTTGATCTTTGGAACTGATATTGAAAGAGTCAAAGAAACAAAAAATTTTCTAGCTTCTCAATTTGAAATGAAAGATCTTGGAGAAGCTGATGTAATTCTGGGTATTAAAATTATAAGATCAGCAAATGACTTGACTCTTACTCAATCAAGTTATATTGAAAAAGTTCTAAAGAGGTTTGGTCACTTTGATGACAAACCTGCTCCTACACCATTTGATCCTAGCATCAAACTAATGCGGAACTCTAGTGATGTTCTCGATCAGCTGACATATTCTCAGATTGTTGGGAGTCTTATGTATGCCATGCATTGTACCAGGCCGGATATTGGTTACGCAGTAGGAACTTTGAGCAAGTTTACTAGTAATCCCGGAGTTGAACATTGGAATGCCTTAATTCATGTTTTAAGACACCTCAAGGGTACAATTAATGTTGACCTGCATTATTCTACATTTCCCATTGTTCTTGAAGGCTATAGTGATGCTACTTGGAATTCTGATCCGAATGACTCTAAATCTATTACTGCTTGGATTTTCACTTTGGCTGGAGCAGCGATCTCTTGGAAATCGAAGAAGCAAACATGTATTACTCATTCAACCATGGAGTCAGAATTTATAGTTGTCTTCTGCTGGAGAAGAAGTTGACTGGTTGCGATCAATGCTGATAGATATTCCTTTATGGAGTAAGTCAATAACACCTTTAACTATCTATTATGATAATCAAGCTGTTATATTTCGGGCTTCAAGTGACTGCTATAATGGCAAGTCGAGACAAGTTCGTCTCAAACATAATCATGTCAGGAGATTATTGGAGGAAGGCGTGATACCGCTTCAATATGTGAAGTCCAGATTTAATTTAGCGGATCCTTTGTTTAAAGTGTTAGACAAAGATTTAGTGGTGAAAACTTGTAATGGGATAGGAATAAAGCCCATTTAAATTAATTGTACTTTATGGTAACCCTACCTAATGATGTAATCTTGGGTTCAAAGGGAAAAACAAGTAAAGTTACAATTGTGAAGCACATCAATAAAATTCTCATTTTCAAAATAAAATGAAATAAGTAGATGTGCATGATTGAGATTCTTTTCTCTTCATAAATTTATAAGGCCGATCTCGGTTGGAGTTAGTAAGAAAACTCTTGATAATTTTTTTTCTCGATATTCCTGCTGAAGAGAAGGATGAGATTATATCTCTTAATAAGTCTATATATCGATTTCGATTGGAGTGTGTAGGAATACTCTTGATAGATTTACCGATACTTTGTGTAAAGGAGGATGAGATTAATTTCTCTTAATGAAGTTCATAGACTATTTGGTCGGAGTATGCAAAGTTACTCTTGATGAATTCACCGCACTAAGTGCGAAGTGGAGGCCGCTTCAATAAGATTTTAACAGGAAATCTTAAAGCACTTGGCTAAAAAGAACTTAGGAAACATGACCGTAAGGTGTCAAAGGATTTCGATTTTCACCGGAACATAGTGATATGTGTGGAGTATTTTTCTAACTTCATTCAATGATGCACTTAGTTCAAGATTTGTTCACTAAGTAGTCAATGATTTAGAAAAACCTTCACTAGCTAATGGTTCAAGTCCAAAAGACACCATTATTGATGCATGTTGCTAGATTAATGTCTCAAAATATTTTTTGGATTTTTTAAAGATAAAATTTCTTGAAACAAGTGGGGGATTGTAAGAGTTAGTGTTTCAATTAATTTTGAAACAAATTCATCCGTTTTGAAATAACAAATACATGAATGTGAGATTTAACATTCATTTATTTAATTCTTTGTTATAAACCTTTGCAAGGATTTTTTTTTTTTTAATTCTACGTTATGAATTTTTGAAAGATAAATTTTTTGTTTCCAATTCATGAACCGAATAAATTCTATTAATTAAAAATCTTTTCTTGCAAAACTTTTTATCCTATAAATTGAGTTTCCTTTGGTTGAAAAAGATAAGTATTCAAGCAAAAATACTTTCTCTGTAAAACACTTGTGAGACATTGATCAAAAGGTGAAATCACCAATTCAAGAATAGAAGAGCAACATTCTTGAATGCTACTTGTTTTGTGGCTTAGTTAAATCCCGAAGATAGAGTTGTTATTTATTCTTCTGATTGCTCGTGGGAGAGACTCCAACTATCTTCAAGAAACGTATTAACGTGCCTCTAAGCCAAGCAAGTTTTATTTTGTATTCCTTGTAATTTTATCATTCTTGTTCATTTGTTCTAACAGTTTTTTCATCTACTTTAGGCCCAAGCAGAGAACCTCGTTCATGAAGGCCATCTAAAGGAGATGAAATTAGAGAAATTAAATGGTCTTTGGAGGACGCTCGAAGCAAGCAATGCAGATATGAATGTGACTCGGAATAGGTATCCAAGAAGCAACATTGATAGGGGATGTGTTTCTTCAGATTATATCGTTGATCCTCGTCAATAGCCTTGCAGACTGGAGAATTTGCACAAGCTTATGTTGCTCAGGTCGGCTTTCGTTGTGTACATTTTAGATTTCATTCTAGATTTGAGCAGAGTAGTGTTCCCTTGATAAATTTTCTTAATCTATTCAGTGTAAAAATCCCTACATACATCCCAAAATACAATGATGTAGATTTTTACTTGACGGTTAAAACATGTATATGGTGTAATTCCAGAGTAGAAATGTTTGAACATACACAACGTCGCTGTCTTCTAAATTGCAAGCACTATTCAGTGAATCAATCCATGTAATTTTCCTTCTCACCACACCCTTGTTTGTCCGAGAGGCCAAACGAGTGCCACTGGAAAAGAACTGGATTGATTTATTCTATGGTGAAGCATCCTGCCTCAATCTCAAGCAAGTTGAAACAATTATACAAATTCTCACTATAACAGTATTTTTATCAAGCTCATTTCCTTTCAATAAAAGTAATAATAAGGATTACAATTTTTTCTTTAAATTAAAAAAAAATGTTTGGTTGAACTTAACTCTTAGCTATACTGTTTCATAAACTGAAGTTTTTCTTCATGAGATCTCCTTCCCTCAAACATCAACATATGAAGCAAAAAATCGCTCCAAGAATCAATAGGACCAGGCAAACACCAATGCACACAATCATTATACAAAACAACATTCTCATTTGGCCAATGCCCATATCTACTTGGATGACCATCTGGTCTCAACAACATTGCTTGTGTTGTATCCAATAATCTAAACCTTTTCCCCTTTTTCTTCCCTTCCTTCTCTGCTGCCTTAAATTCTTCAACTTGAATTGTATACAACTCCAAGTTTAACCCCTCTAAAGATGTTTCATTGCTTCTAAATGGCTTTCTCCTCACACAATTACCACCTTTATTCCATTCTCCACCTTCAAAATGAGATGGTGCAAATGTCCTAACAAAAGTTATGCCCTTAAAATTTTCCAACTTGTTCATGCTTCTCAAAACAGTCCTAATTGCTCTCTGGTACCCATAAGTTGATGGGAGGTCTGTAACATTTGGAAGTCCACAATACCTGCAACAATACGTTAGTTTCACGTATAGTCACTAAACTTTACCAACTATAACAACAAAGTCACAAAACACTAACTAATGTTTAGTGATCATAAGTGAAATTAATCGTACCTGCAGCCAACTAGTTGGTTGTTCTCATAGTAAACACTGCATCTAGTAAACCAATGGCCACCATTGAAGATGACATAGTCAAATTCTTCAATTCGACTTAACCATTTCTCATCAGCTTCATCTAGATAAAGGTTGAATAGACCAGTTTTTGTTGGACCATCAGCATCTGCTTCTTTCATTTTTACCAAGAATGGTGACCAATATGTTGCAAGGGTAAAATTGTAATCAACATATTTCCATCTTTTAAAATTTTCATCTGGACTAATAGATTCATCAATTGGATATACTGCCTACACACGAAAAAATAAAAAGAAAACATCACACGTGACATATTTCTACCTTGCTAGGAATATGACATTAAATAAGAAAGTAAGGAGAGTGAGAATTAAAGTAGTAGTCTATAGTAGAGTATTTTCTTTCATTCCCCGTGAGGGAATGAATTTCTAGTTTGGAGAATCCATTTGTTTTCTTACCGCTATTATTTTTTTATGCTTGCATTATCTTATAATTCAATTTTATTTAAACTATTGTTTTATTTATTTTCACTATCTATTATATTTTACTCATTACTTTTTATATATTCTCTCTCCATTCGAATATATTTATGACATTCTATTATTATTATTGGAGGTGTCATTTTAGGCTAACTTATGCCAATCAAATCAAAACAGTAATAAAACACAGATTCCAACATAAATTTTTGTTATATTATGAGTATTTATAAGTTAATTTAAAAATAATTTATTAATTAATTTTGCATTTTATCCAAGGTCATCATAATTTTATGAATCTTTTACCACATAAAAGTATTTCATTTAAAAATCAATTACATAGGTGATCCTTGACGATCCCTTCCTTTTAATTTATAATTCATGAAATAAATATAATTTTCTCTACTGAAACGAATATTTTATTTAGGGGACACATGAAATAGCACATGTGATGTTTAGCAGCCTGGACAAGAAAAGGAGAAAAAAAAAAGTATCGATATCTTATATACGGGGAATCTTGCTTATTCTTTAACTTGATATTTTTAAAATAATAAAATATCTACTTATTTTTAAATAGGGGAAAAGATAAACATCCATTTTTTTGGACTTCGGTGATCAATTATTTAATCAACAAATCTGTGCAAAAGGGACAGTTATCCTCTGTATTTCTTTATATTATATATATTACTGAGGGCATAATAATGTTAGCTAGGAACCCACGCTGTCACTTTGGACTCTTTCAGATTTTGTCAAGTGACTCTATACCTTCAATTCTAATTTAACTTATTAGCTGAGAGGGATTTAAGATTTGAATTATTATAAAATGATTTTTTTATCATAGTGGTCTAATTTTATAATATCTATCACCCAGTGAAATTCTAAAAAATTATTAGAATTAGTTAAGCAATTGACAATATGCTACATCGTTCGCTGCAAGTTAGTTTTAATTTTAAATGTAGATATTTGATATAATTATAATGATAAAAATAGAATAAAAAATTCATTCTGTTAATATTGGGATTTTTCTAATGAATATATAAATCAAAAAAAGAAAAGGAAAGAAAAAGGAAAAAGTACCCCTAAACGAAGTTCTAGAAAAAGAAAGATGAAAATAACATGACAAGCATAGAATTTAAACCCTCGAATTTACTCACAGAGGACACCTAATAATTGTTCAAATTATATATAAATATGATTTTGAATTAGCGATTAATTATGATATTTAATTTTAGATGTGCATATAATGACGGTCTCTGAAATTTTATCAAGAGTGTTCAAGAAAAATAGTATGTGATTGTCAAAATAAAATAAAAATATTGTGATATTTGGGGTTGTAACTTGAAACTCCTTCATTCAAATGGACACTCATTATAACTACGTTAGAAGCATAGCTTTTGTCCACGTGTTCAACTTTGAATATATATCCTTTAAATGTAGAATTTGACATGTACATATAACGTAACTTTCAGATAGACACCCTTGGGTGACTGTGGTTATGCTAATGTGTGCACTAGTCGACACTTAAATTCATATAAAATTAAATAAATAGACATATTCATCCTACATGGCCCCGTACATGACAGTTTTGTGTCTTAGTGACAACCTACGTCTATTATGTCATAAATGATACGTGTGTTTACTTGTTTAATTATATATAAATTTAAGTGTCTATTTGTGCACACTCAAAATTAGAGTGCATAGTTGTTCGCGAATACCAAATTAATGGTTGGGTGTGTATATATTTATGAGAAAAAAATTAATAATTTTGTTCTAGTAACGACCAAAAATCTAAATTATGATTTAAATTATTATTTAAACAAAATAAATGATTTGAAGTTTGAGTGTAATAATGGTATTGCTAGAGATAATTCTAATCCACGAATTGAGATTATCTAAATTGCATAACCAAATACCTCCTAAATAAACTATTTTGAGAATAAGGAAATGATTGTTAATTTCGTATTCACAAGGAAACGAAAAACTAAAAAACAGTTGAAGCTTCAAGTCCAAAATTTTGTTAATTTCGTATTCACAAGGAAACTAAAAATTAAAAAATAGTTGAAGCTTCAAGTCCAAAACTTTGTTAATTTCGTATTCACAAGAAAACTAAAAACTAAAAAACAGTTCAAGCTTGGGGTCCAAAACTTGTTGGTGCATTCAACAGAATATTACCTAAACTTTGAAATACATCTACTTTTGTTAGACCAAACCCAGCCTATTCAATAATACAGTACAACATGTGTGCACGCAACCCAAGGTAAGCATAAAAAGTTAAATTTACATCCAATTTTCTAATCCAAAATCCATTGGTGGCAATAATAAAAATTTAGGGAGAAATAAAATTTCATACTTAAAACAATAAAATTTATGTCAATGTTATTTAGGGGCAGCCATACACATTTTATAGCTAATTTCATGTTTTCTTTAGGTATAGTTAATAATAAATATGCACATATTGTATAAAAATATTTTAAATCAGATATAGAAAACGTATATAAAAGTTTTTTTATATTATCAATACAATTTATTAACTTTTTTTGATTTATTATTATTTTATAAAATTAATAATTGTTATTCATTTTACATCTTTTACATTGTATTTAGACCCGTATAAAACTAAAAGAACGTTGCGGTATAGGCAATGAAACAATATGAAAGAAGTATGAAGAGGAAAATAGGTACCCGGGACAAGAGACATATTAAAGATTGCATTTGGTTTCTTCCAACGGAATCTCCAACAAATGCTAATGACTTGTTTCTCATCATATCCAAGAATTGAAATGGGTTGAAAATTGGCAACTCACATCCCTTAGGCTTCCATCTATTAATAATATATAAAATCGAATTCATAAATTTTTGCAAGAGAATACATTAAAATTACTTATCGAATTTCCAACATACCTCCATTTTAAGAAATCGATATCAGGCCTTCCATATTTCATGCAATTTTGGTGTTCGTGGATCGCCCAACAAGTGGTGTTTGTATAATATGGTCCATCAGGATTTGGAATCCACTCTCCGATCGAAATATCACATGCTTCATCATCCATAATCTTTATCTCCATATCTTCAATATGATATGTGGATGATTTTTCTGACTCATGATTTGATAAATTTGTAGCATTATACCACTTAGAAGTATAGTGAAGAGGGATAATACCTAGAATAATTAATGTTAAAGCTAGAAGTATGAATACTTTTGGAGTTCTTTGAGATGCATTATTGGACAACTTTTTCCCACAAGGGAACTCCATTTGCTTGGAGCTAGATTGAAAGTGAAACCAAAGATGGGAGTTGAAGCATAAGAAGTTAAGCTTATAAAAAATAAGTCATGGAAAATGGCATCAAGAAAAAACAAAGGACTAGTTGGCACTTACATGTGACACAAGCAACGTGCTAGTAGTATACTACTGATTATAAGATTTTAGTTGATCGAGCTTAATATATATATATATATATATATATATATATATATATATATATATATATAATTTACATTTAGTTGATGAACAAAGCTTAATTTTGAACGTATCTATATACATATAAGATAATTACAAGTTTAACTTTCTATATCATGTATTAAATCTAACAATGTATATACCTTAAATTCAATTTTAATTCACAACTCTTGCA